TGCCAAGGTTGCATACCCTTGTGCTAGGTAAACATATTGCTTTGTTTGTTAAGAGAGATAGTTGAAATTCAGGAAACATATTTGGGTTTCTTAAATAATGCTACATATTGTTATCTATGAATAATCATGTGAATCATACCAACAATTTCCTCAGAAAGACACAAAAGCTTTGCAACCTGTCTCACCAGTAGCATGGATGCCAGTACTGTTACTTATACTACCCATATTTGAGTAATCTTTGGATGGATTCCACCTTACAAGAAAGAACACAAGCTGTATTTCTATATAAACATTACAGAAACTCTGGTGGCAGTAGTATTTTATTATGAACACAATCAAAAGTTCTCCAGTCTTCATTGTCATGTATCAGCCATTATTTAGTTACATCTTAAAATTATTTCCCTAAAACTTTTTAGGGATTTTCTTAAAAAAACAAAACAAAAAGGGGTATTTGTGAGCTAAAATAGAAATATCCTGAAGAAATTCATTATACTACAGCGATACTTGGCAATCCTAAAATGATCCTCACTGTGGTTCAGAACATGAAATAGAGCCTTGACAAGGGGTCTTACATGACGCATGGCAGGACTATCAGACAATGTAAATGCACTTTAAGTGGATTACATCTATATAACAAAATCTTCACAACAGGTTTAGCTGCCTAGCAACTTACACAATAGATGGTTGGATAAAACGGATTACAAGCCATTGATTAGCCCCAGACAAATATACGGCCAACCAGCCAGTCAAGTTAATTTTCACTCTAAATCACAAATGACACATCTTGGCCCTCTGGCCAATAATTACAAGAGAAACTTAGACTGCTGTCTGTACAGATTGGTGACTGGAAAGTTGTTATAGCATAGTTTGTCAATGGGATCTGAATATAACTTCAACTCCAGAGACAATTTTCCTAGGAGACAATAATCCATTTGTCATAATGAGATGAACACACTCATTTGAGGTTAATGTAATCTGTAGTGCTATGAGATGTCTACATAGTATCCATTTTACCCTATATTTATTAACATTGCCACTTTTGGGAAACTGTTTGGTCTCTACCATCATGCCACTATCCATCTGTTTCTCTTCATAGAAAAGAATCAACACCTATATTTTGTGAGAATTGTTTATATATACAGATTTTGTATACAACTTCTTGTGTTTTTGTAAATTGCCCAGGAAACTATATACTAAATTTATTTAAATATTTGTAAATTGCCCAAGAATCTATATATCAAATATATATATATTTCTGCTTAGGTAAATTGGAAAAAGTTGTTTAGAAAATGGAATTGGTGTGTATGGTACTCCCCCATGTAAGTTATTTTAATGTAAATTTACAAGGTGTAAGTTGCTCTTTAAAAAAATCAAGTACAACTTTCAGAAATATTCTGTCTCTCATAAACAAATGGATATACTTTTCCTATTTAAGAAATATAGGATTCTGTAGAGTCCTTGATGCTCTCTCAGAGCTTTTCAAAATACTTAGGCTCTGGAAAATACATTGCCCTGACATGGAGAATTTTGACCTGACAAATTGGCTTATTGGATTGAGAACAAGAGCTGTGCTCATTAAGAAATTATTTGTAAAACAAGCAAATGTTAACATTCCTGTTGAAAGATACAATAAATATTAGGGGTGGGGCAGTAATGGAGCTTGTCACTCTTCCAGAATGAATGGTGTAACTGAAGTGCTGATGGTCACACAGCCTTTGGGGAAGGAGAAAGAAATGCTAATGTAAATATAATATCCCTAATAGGGGTTCAAATGTGCTTATGAGTAGTTCCCCTGGCACTCACTAAACACCCAGCTTATTTCATTTTTTCTTAGATTACTTTGACTTGAACCAAGTGTCATATGTTAGAACAATCTTTATCTTCAGGAATGTCCTCTCAGTTTAACATAGACCTCATAGGAAGGTTTAGGATGGGTGGGGGAGCATGGCCCCTTTATGATTTGCACACTTCAACTCCCAGAACTCCTGAGCCAGCATGACTGACTCAGGAATTCTGGGAGTTGAAGTCTGCAAGTTATAAAGGGGCAATTGTTCCCCACCCCTGGTTTTTCAAATAATGAAAATGCTCCTGTGGTTTGTTCAGAAATGTGCCCTCCTAGCTAGAAAAAATACAGAGGTGATGTATAATTGGATTATAATCTCCTTGTGCTTAAAAAAAAAAACCCAGGTAGAACAAAAAAAATTGGTTTATCTCTGGGTGTTTTTTTTTTTTTACTGCTAACTGCTGAATGGTTAAGCACCGCAGGCTAGCCATTTTCTTGGAGAGCCAACAACATGCTCTCAAAAAGTCAAATATGCCCCTCAGGCTCCAAATGGATACTGATGTGGAAAAACATTTCTCTTCATAGTTTATAGTTGCCATCTTTCTTTCCTTCTAAAATTCCAGAAGTTGAGTCAGCTTGGACACTGAGATTAATGTGCACTCAATTCCACTCTTGTTATTTCACCCACAATACAATAAAAGGGCTAAGTGCCCCATGGATACATAAAAATGATAGCTGGAAGAAGACAACTGAAAATGTTTTGACAAACCATTATTTTTGTTTGTTTTAAAGGGGAAGGGTCTTGATGCTCTCCGAGATTGGTTGTTTTCTTGTAGACTTTTCATTAACCAAACCAAGAAACATCATCAGTTTGTTTTAATAAAAGAGTGATTAAAGCAAGCATCAACACTGATCCTTTAAATTTTGGTCTATGGCTTTGGCCTAGAATGTCAGACACCAATGTTGGTATAGACCCTTATTTTTATTTTTTTATGAATAATTTTATTAAAAATTACAATTGCACCAATAAAAAACTAACACAAACTTTAAAAAAGAATAAAAAGAAACAGAAGGTGCAGAAAAGAAAAGAAAAGAAAAGGGAGAAAAATAAAAATATATAGTAAAGGAAAAGAAAATATGAAAAGAAATGACTTTCCCCTTCATCACAACTTATAAACAATTTTAGTAACGTCTCCTAAAATACAGCAAATGGTTTCTTCTTCCCATATCCCATCTCTTAATCTTAAATCCTTAGAGGCAACCATGGCCCCTTAATGCTAAGTCTAGTGTACCTCTAGTTTTAATCATGTACAATAATAGTTAGGACTGTGATTTGGAACACTTCCAATTCAAATAGGACACCAACCATTCTTTCACTAGATAGCCAAACCATAGATATTGCAGAATATTGTAATCTGCCTTACATGACTGTAGTTCATATATGTGAAGCATCAGAAAGACTCATGCAGCTATATAAACTATTAAGTATTATGCTTTTCTGATGAATATTATTGCATCTGCTGCAAATGAGATATGTAGATTTCAAAATCTGAAAGGCAGATTTCAAACATTCTGATAAAGGATGTTTTTTTTCCACAATAAGCTTAGTAATAGAAATTTCACTATGCTTGGCACAGCACTCAATTCCATACATGTCCTTGTGACATTCTTTTTCCTGCAGTTCAAAAAAAGCATTTCACACCAAAAATTTAGAAGGGAACCTAAAATGAAAGACATAACAGAAATCCAGAAAATGTAGCTATTATCATTTTTCCAGGTTTTGAGACTTGAGAATCAGAAAAAAAATCTATTTAACTGTTCATATTACTAACATTATTTTAATCTGGAAGCTTTTAAAACTTATTCTAATGGATTTTTCAAAATAAAATGTGTAAATTCACATTTGTATTTCCACATCCTCATCAAAACTCCTAATACTCTTTCCCCAGTTTTGCCCAGCCCTAAAATGATAGTAGGCAATTCAAGTTCCCCCTCTAATCTACCCAGGCACATCCAGAATATAACATTTATTGTTATAGCAACAAGGTTGATTTTTTAAAAGCCATTTTCATCAAAAGTCATATCCAGTCATAAAAACCTGAAACACGTTATAAGAAGGGGGGCGGGGGAGAGAACTGAATAATTTCAATCCCACCCACTTGGTGGACACCATGGTTGCTCTCTGTGTCAAAATACTTTTTTAAAAAAGGCATGGCCTCAGCCAGGTTTAAAAGTATCACATTTTTTTTTTCAAATACAAGGGTTTTCAGATCCTTCAGATCTTATTTTTCTTGAGCCCATGTCACCTGAAATTTCCTAGAAGCAGAACACTCGAATTATACCCAAGATAAACCAGGTTGGAATGCTTGCATTTCTATTGCACCAGGGCTTTAAAGTGACATTTTGCCAGACCATATCATAAAAATCACAAACTTTGTTTATTCTGAAAGTTTAGAAGTTTCATTTGCTTAGAATGCCGTACTTATCAATATTTCGATGAAGTTATATAACAATTTCAAAAGGAGAGAGTAGAACTGGCAAGGAATTCTCCTTTTTATACCTTTAGTGCCATCTTCTGGCATTTCACGTGCAATACAATATATTTATTTTTATATTAAAATCTGTTAGAAGTAAATACATTTTTAAAGAAGTTTACAGTACAGAATTAGGTGGTAGATTGTGGAATCACTGAAATAGTTTTATAAATATGGTTTATATAATGAGTTTTCAATACCTAAGTGCAAGAAAGCCCAACAAAGAAAGGACATTGTACTTAAAATTTCACAAAATGGACAAATGAAAGCAACCTTTAGCAAAAGGAGAATCTTAGGAATCAACACCTCCTTGGGAATGGATGAATTAGTTTTCCACCAATCCATATTGCCATCAAATGTGAAACAGACACCCAAGTTTCATGCAAGATACACAAAACCCATTGTTCTGTTGCTTTGCAATTCTATGCTTAAAATGAGAATGCAACTTTGCACTTAATTATATATTTCAAAGATATCATTTAAAATATTTTCATTTCATAACTTATTTTTCCAGACATCTAACCCCCCCCCTCCTCCTAACATATTTTGACAATTGAAAATGTTAAGGCATAAATAAGTTATTAAGTTATTATCATCCAGGCGGTGAGTATCATCCAGCTCACAGGAGACTTCAAACTCCTTGACCAGATCAGTAGTTAGGTATGGGATAGACGATAGCTTACCTTGGTTTGGAAGCAGCAGTAGAGCTGTGTTAAATAAGGATGCTTTCGTGCTAATGCCAGAATCCGTTTTTCTGTCATTGTACAGTCCACATCATCATCTTGAAGAATGACATCTTTCTTTAAGACTTTCACAGCATATACTTCATCTTTACCTTTGAGTTCTGCCAGCATAACCTAAGGTCAAGAACAACGTCTCATTTATAAAATACACTGCACACTTTTCAAAAGATACACTAATAACAACGGGGGAAAAATAAACCATCACAAGCACCTTACAGTAAAATATTTTACAAAGGTCCTATGTACAATATCTATCTGTCTGTCCAGCTACAGACAAATTTGTACATATCACTTAACAGTTCAAGGTATAGTTTGACTTAGATCATGAGCTCAATATAAAAAGGTAAGCAGTGTCATCTCTAACTGAAAAACCAGCTTTTCATGAAAGATAATAGAGTCAAATTCAATACTTGTCATAAAGTTTAGTATCCATGTACCATTTATTGTCAGGGTACCTTTATAATGAAAGATATGCAGAAATTCTTGTGTATGATGAACCATGAAGAAATTTTTGCACATGTTCCAATGGCTTCTGGACAGCTGCTATAAATGAGAGTATATTTGTAATCAATAGCAATATGCCCATTCACACACTCAAAGTAGAGGGTTTCTATTGCTATTAATGTATTATTCTTAAATAAGTAAATAGAGTACTTCACAAGTCTAATTTTAAGCAACTGTAAAGGAAGATGACAAAAAAAAAAAGAATATATTTTTTATCTTTAGTGGCTACTTCTTATAAGCCAGAAGGGAAAGGATACAGGGGTATACATATAAATATTTGTAATTCAGGATCTTTGGCACTAATTAGAAAGCCAAGGATGGACACAATGATTCTACTTTGAACCTGACTGATAAATTTCTGACTGATAAAGTTCCATTAGACGTCCCTCTAAGTAAATCAAGGCACATAAGGCTTATAAGATTTCTCAAGTAAACCAGAGAGCAAGCCTGCTCTATCAAGTCTCACAAGAAATAGCCACAAACTTTGGACCTTTTGCCAACACGGTTCAATATTCACCTTCCCTTTACTATACCAAGTGTTTCTGCTTCTGGCTGCATGATCCTTATCCACTTGTTCATGAACTAACTCCAAAATGGATAGGGCATGATGTGAATCTCCTCCTCAGAAAGTTTCAGTCAAGTAGTTTGCATATTCCTTGCGCCCCAAAACTCAGTCTCTGAATGCAATTTTAACTGGAATAATCAAACTAGGTATTAGCTAGATAAACTGAATAGACCACTGTAGAGTTCTGCAAAGTCGTTGTGTGATCATTTCACAAATAGTCCGTTAGTTGATCTAAGTCCTGCAGATCACATCAACAAAAAGCAATTGCAAATAAATTTATGGGACATGCATAAATAGCCTTCTTTAATTAATTATGTAGTTAAAATATATCAGTATTTAGTAACAAATGAGATCACCAAAGACATTGAAAGGCATATAAATTAGCCTTTATATTTGTACTTCATAATACAGATTAAGATGTCATCAGAATCAATGTACATTCAATATAGACCTAGTTTATGCTGCAGATGAGAGCCAGGTTCAAGATTTAGCAAAACTATACACCTACCAAGAGCCTATGGATTGGAACAACTTATAATCAAGTGATTCCTCTTTCCCATAGCAACTTGCCTATTCACTCAGGCACCATAGTTAGTGGCATGAGGCAACATTGTAATATATGAGAGAGGGAGGGAGGGAGGGAGGGAAAGAACGAGAACTGGATTGGAGAAAGCTGCTTGTTCTAGTACAGCAACTATTGTTGTGTATCTGGAAAATGCTGCATCCATGTTCTTACATATAAACATTATGTATACATCCATATATAATCTTATCCCAAAGAACATAGATCAGCATTGTCCAGATACACAGCAATAGTTGCAGTACAGTACTAGAACAAGCAACTTTGTCCAATCCACTGTTTTCTAGTTTGACTAGAAATACCATACTTCCTAATCAGCAGTCAGGAAAGCCTCCGAGTTGCAGATAGAAACATACAAAGAAAGTGCACCTAGGGAATGTTCAAAGAATATACCATGACAAAGAATCATGGCAAAGTTGGATCTCTTTTTTTTAATAACACAGATCTTCTTGAGTAAATATATTGGCCCCAATGAAGATGTCTGGCACATGTCTATGACCTTTAGAATTGTTGGTATCCCTGATTACCTTGCACAGAGCTGAAAAAACCAACAATGGTTCTATAATTATAGAAAGTGAAATTTGTCCTTACTTTTTTCACTATTTTGTAACTGCTTTATAGGGTATAGTGATTGGAGCCAGAACAAATACAGTCTAATATCTACATGCCATGTTAAGTTTGCATAGCTGGCAAGCTGGGAAAATAAGCAAAAAATTATTTGATTTGCAAGATCAGAAAAAGCAAAACAGGAATTATCTACATAGAGAAGAAATGTCAATCACCTGACAGAATACTTTCTGCAGTTAGGCTCCTTGACAAACATAATTTAGCACTTCAATGATTAGATGTCAGGCTACAGAACTTTTCCCATTCACTCAACTAGAATGAACTTCTGAAAACGTATCCAAACGTATCACAAAGGAATTCTTTATTGAGATGAGACAATTCCTGTAGGAGTTCAAAGCAGCGTCTGAGGTCTCTCAGGCATACAGGGATACATAAGGGAGTTTAGAACCCCTCCCCTTATCTCGATGTGTATTTAGTGAAACAAAAGCCAGTAAGTTAATTCCTCCCCACCCCTCTTGTTAGAACGAACTATTCAAGAGTACTATCCAAAGTACAATCTTGCCGTGGAATTTTTATGACTTTCTCATCTCCTGGTTGTGCCTTACAGAGGTGATAGTTCTGGCCATCTGGCTTTTCTCCCTCCATCGTATCATGTGTGGGTTATACAAATTCGATATAAGATTAAATGTATTCAGGTTACATCAAGAAAGGATTTCTTTATCAGCCTCCCCCCCCACCTTTTCTTCTGAAGAAATGACAGATACATGGATCTGACAGTAGATATGCATTCAACTCATAGTATAATACTGACTTTTTTAAAAAAACAATCTTTGAAATGAGAAACATTTCTGCTACAGCACTTGTAGAAATTCACAGTTATACATTCTTTCTAGAGTTCTTTCCTGTACATAGATGGCAACATATTCTTTTATAAGAGTAAAACAACAATCATGTGTACAAAGACACGTGAATAGAATGTAGAGACTGGTCTTCTGCAACTACATCTCCAACATCAGCTTTTGTCAAATTACTCTCTTGAAGATATATTGACTTATGATTTTCTATAAGGTCGGAAATTCTAGAAGTTGCAAATCTTCATGCCTAGAAGGCATCAGTTGAGAAAAAGTTGACTACATTATCCATTGATTCAAACTAACCCACAACAGAAGACTGAAGTCAAGATGATCTGACAAGAATCCATTGTACTTACCAGCTTAGATCTGACAGCACTTGATGGGTCAGCAAGTTTGTCTGTGCCCTAAATATATCTGCACTATGTAGGTGGGATGGGAACATTTAACAAGCAGTGCCAAAATGACTGGAGAAACCAAAGTCAAATTACAATTTATTTGTAAGATTTGTACAATGGCAGGGATAAACTGAGGAAGTCCACATGACTTTACAAATGACTCCTACAGACTTCGGCATGGCCAGTACATGACACATTTGGCCTGTGGGCCGCGAGTTAGACAGTCCTATTAGATTCTTCCTTCCACACATTTTTTTTCTTTTCTATTCTATTTTTAAAAGTATTTATATTTAAATTTCTAGTTATGGGCAATATACTTTAAGAGCAAAAAGCAAAAACAAACAAGAAAAAATAATGTAGGAATAAAAAACCAAAACATAAATTAAGGCCAATGATATAGCAATGATTGAACTGCCAAAGGCTTATGGGATAAAATGTATTTAACTGATTTTAGAATGTCAGCAAAGTTCAGGCCTTGTGTACCTCTGGGAGGAGAAGGTTCTGAAGGATGGGGGCCATCACAAAGTTTGTCTTATCCTCATTTAATGTATTTCACTGGAGAATGGGGCGGGGTACTTTTAACAGCCTTTCTCTAAGTAAATAAACTGGACAATCCAATCCAATAATGATAACGTGATGCATGATATATCTTACTGCTGAACTTTGAAGGAAATAAAAGCACTTTGAACTGGCCCCAGAAGTCTAATATCAACTAACACATTGATGTTACTATTATTCTACATAGATAAGTATTAACAATTATACTATTTGTAGCTTCTGGATCATGTCCAAAGACTATCCCAATAGAGTGCACTGTAGTAGACTAATTACATTGTGATCAAGACATGCATTATTAATACCAGAGCATCCTGGCCCTTCTACTGGGAGAGTACAACACTGTCCAAAGTAACTAGCGGGACCAAGTTTATATTATGAGGGAACCATATGTTTGCTAGCAAAACCATCTTGGTAAGATTTAATCTGAATGTTGTTTCACCTCATCCACATCCCTGTTTTCAGATGCTTCTTCAAGACTTCCACATCAGCTGCTACTCAGCCTGGGATGCCATGATATTATTTAATCAAATCAGCCTATTGATAGGATCTCATTCTGAACTTACAATTGATATCTCCCAGAGGTTTCATGAAGAAACGGAGGAAAATAAAGGAGAATTGAGCACTGTTTAACCTCACACTGTTGCTCCCATGAATTCAAGTGCTTCCCTACCTAGAACATAGACTAGCATCACTCATTTATTCAGAAAGGGACTTAACCACTGTAAAATGAATTCTCTTTTACTTCCAACATTTTTTTGATAATCTATTGAATGTTGCTGAGAAGTTTAATAAATAACATGTAATTCTGGGAGAATCTATGGGTTTTTATTCACGTTGTCATTTCAAACTTGGGAAATAAACTGGAATACCACTGGAATACAATGGGAAGGAATTGCTGTATATGTTTGTGTTAAAGTACAATAATAAAATAACCAAACTAATTAAAATGAGTAATAATTTATATAATTTAGTTTGGTCTCCTGCTGACTGCTTTTTGTAAAGCCCTTTTATGTGGCTCTTTCTTAATATGCTATTCCAAGGCTGTTTTTGCAAAACAGAAGTTGCACATCTTGGCCATAATTTCATGTGACAAAGAATGTATTTCTATATGTACCATAATTGTAATGGTATACAAGAAAGACTTAGAGAGAGACAGGATGAAGAGATGCTGCCTAAGGAACAGTCAGATAAGAGACCCCATAGCCTGCAGCAGGATAATAGGTGAAGAAAGGGACTCAGAAGGGACCCTCCCAAACTTCTGAAGCTGTAAAGGAGATGGTAGGATATCTCTAGTTTCAGACTTGCAATAGTCTGTTAATGTACCCTTACAAAAAGTAAAATTAGATCATCTGATCATGTTTCCGGTCTGGTCTACCTGAGAAGCCTGTAATATATTCATCTTAGGAATAAGGATAAGGCAAGTGACCAAAAAGAACCAAGTAGCATTTATAGGCTGCTCACCTTTCCAAAGCTGCCTTTTCCTAATACTTTAATGAAATTAAATTCGTCCAGGCCCATTCGCTTTGACATCTGAGCTTTGATGTCTCCGTTTTCCCCATTCTCCCCGGGTGTGTTAAGTTGGCTATCAGCTGAGCTTGTTGCTGCTCCCCTATGTTCTTCTCCCCGATTGTCAAATGATAATGCTTTCCTGATGTTATTTTCAAGCTCTTTGATTTCTGTGTGAAGACAAAAAACAGTGCTGACAGGCAAGATATTTTACAAAAACCTCTGCAGGATTTTATATTAATTTTAGAGACATGTGAATTATGTCAGATGCTTTTTGAGTCACAAAGAATGAGAGGTTATGGCTCCCAATTTACCCATACTTTCTTGACTGAATTTAAACTGGTCTAAGGGCAGAAAACAAAAGAATATTGTGGGAAAATGGAGAGCAGCCTATCAGATTTTGGCTCTGCTCCAGGATTCCTTTGAAAGGTTCAGAGCCCTTAAAGGGTTCCCTGACATTACACATTGGAGACTTAGCATGTGACATAGAATTGGGTTGCTTTGACATTTTAAGGCAGCAGTGATAATCTGAGACTGCAGGATTAAAATGTCTTCTGGCTATTATTATTATTATTATTATTATTATTATTATTATTATTATTATTATT